CGGGCAAGCAGCCAAATCATCAGCATATCAGATTTTGACACAAGTAGGAAACAGGCGGCAATGTCCCACTCCAAGATGACAGCCATCCACTCTGCTCTCAGGGGAGAGCAACACCTTCAAGGTGGTGCGGTTGGCCACCATGTTTCAGTGAAGCACCACTGCCTTTCTTCCTATTGAAGTCTAAATCCAGCACACAAGTCTAAATACAGCTCTGCAGCACCTGCACTGCCTTTCTCTCTGTGGCCCATGCTCAACTGGTTTTAAAGGTCTGACCATACATTATGAATCAGCTGCAAAAGATCTCTCTAAAATAGTGGTTCTCAACCTCCCTCATGCCATGACCCTTTCATACATTTCCTCATGTGGTGACCCACCCAACCATAAAATTATCTCCATTGCTACTTCATCACTGTCATTTTGCTACTGTTAGGAATAGGGTGACCCTTGTGAAAGGGTCGTTCGGCCCCCCAAAGGGGTCGTGACCCATAGGTTGAGAAATGCTGCTCTTAAAAAGCCAAGGTGTCACCTTGAAGACAGTGGTGCACTTGACCCAGGCCAGTGTCTTTTCAGTTGCCTGGTGTGCATACAAAAGCTGAGCAGTGAATAAAGAAGATGGAAGAAGAGTCCATGTCTGTGAAGTAGGGTGTGGGCAAAGAGTATCAAATAAGCGTTAGTATTATTAGATATTAAACACTAGACTGCTAGGAGAACAAACCAATTCTATTGGGAAAAGCAGCCAGAATGGTCCTCCGAAGGGAGGGGGGACGAGACCTTGACTCACGTACTTGGACAGGTTGTCAGGACTGACCAGTCCGTGGAGGAGGACATCATGCTTGGTAAAGTAAGTCCGAGGAAAGAGTGGAGGACTTGCAACAAGATGGATCGACACAGTGGCTACAACCTTGGGCTCGAGGACAACAATGCTTGGGAGGATGGGACAGGTGTGGGCAGTGTTCCCTTGTGCTGTATGTGGGGTCGCTGGGACTCCTACTCAACTGGACCACACTTAACGATAACAGAAATGACTTTCTGATGCGTATTGTTACGCGAGGGAACTGTGAAAAACATTACATGGAGTGAAACGAGTCCATTCTGTTTGTTTTTCACTATGAGTATGATGCATTTTTCTTTCCTTTTTGTGAACAATTCAAGGAGGTATGGGTGAACATTTACAGAACAAATTAGTTTTCCATTCAACAAACCATACATGTTTTGTTTCATGGTTTTCGTTACAACCCCAAGTCTGTATTTTTCTGATTTTAAAATAACTGCGAAGCTAACGAAAAGTGATCGTGTTGAAAGGATTAAGATTTGCTCATGAATCTTCTCTGTTTACCGTAGGTGCCTTCAAAATGTCCAGTTTGAAATTCTGTCTTTACTTAGCCGAGAGGTGGCTACAGAACATTCCATCTCAGGTATGTCTGGGTCAGAAGAGGGAAGGGCCCCCTCCCTACTGACTTTTTCCTTAGTATTGTGCTTGTTCCACACACCTTGTCTTCCTGCCCCCGGTGATTGCCCTTTGCAGCGGCCCAACAGGGAGCAGGAAGTAGGGAGGGACCTTCAATTGGCATCACGGATTGTTAACCTCTGTTAAGACTCAGAAAATCAGTTCTTCTTTTAACTTGGAATTTTGAAACAGGATGACACGCGTGACAAAGCGGAGGCTTTGCTGAAGAAGCTTCATGTTCAGTACCGGCGGTCGGGCACAGAAGCCGTGCTCATCGCTCACAAGCTGAACAGCGCCGAGTACTTGCGCTCCATCGGGAAGCCGGCCCACCTCATCGTCAGCCTCTACGAGCACCCCAGCATAAGCCAGAGGATCCAGACCTCAGCGGGCCAACATTTCCCCGGTGAGCACAGTTTGTACCCAGTTAGTCAGAGGGCCTTACTATTAGTCCCAGTTAACCTTACTCTCTTTGTAGATTGGCATTTTTCTTTTGTGAATTCTTTACCTTGAATATCTCAGACATTCACGCCGCAGCCAAAGAAATAGCTGAAGTCAACGAGCTGAACTTGGAAAAGGTCTGGGACGTGCTATTGGAGAAATGGCTGTGCCCAACAACAAAGCCTGGAGAAGTAAGTCCTCCCTGCCTGGGAATGCCCCAGGGAAAACGTGCCCTTTGCATTCACAGCACGGGGTCTCAAAAGAAGGCATCTTGTTCATCTGTGTTGTGTGCCCCTGTTAACTGACGAGTCTTCCTGAGCTCCTCTGTTTCCCTTCCTGCCAACTTACTGAAAAGCTACAAGAGGCGTCTACCCTTTACCCAGAGTCACCGGTTTATAGCGTTGGCCACACTTACCATGTCACTCTCCCTGTGCATACGCACTTCATGTAGCACTTGACTGGGGTCAGATGGAATTTCACTGTGGTTTAGATTTGCAGCTTTCTAACGGCTAATGATCATGAAGGTCTTTTAACGTTAGCTGGCTGTTGAACAAGGAGCTTCCTCTAACTTAGCCACACAGTATGGTGTGCCAAAGTCAGGAGTTTTAATATTCACTCAATACTTGGCTCTTCAAAAGAAAAAAAAAGAAAAAATACTTGGCTCTTCAACCTGTGTTAGAATTTAACCACCTATCCCAATAATGTGCTTCCTAGCTATTTTTACCTCTCGATCCAGCATTGAATATTGCATTGGTTTGCCATCTTCCTAATAGCTTCTCGTCTAAAGCAGCTCGTCAGCTTTCCCTGACTTTCATGGCCTTGCCTGCTTTAAAAGCATAGGGCAGATCTTGCACTGCCCGACCACTTGGGTTTGCCTGAGGCCTCCTCCTGCTAGGATTCGAATTAAGCATTTGGGGCCGGCATCCACCATGAGTAAAATTATGCCCTCGGTTATGACATTTGAGAGCATACGACAGCTATCGGCCCTCAGTGGGTGATGCTGATGTAGATCACTTCAGTAAGGTGTGCATTGCTTTACTACAAACGCAGTGTTTCTACTTTTGTAAGTGATTTCACCCACCACCTTTGAGTCCATTCTGACCCACAGCCACTCTAACCCGACGGGACAAGTAGAACCACTCGCTCCCTAGGGATTAAGGCTGTACATCTTTACAGGAGCAGAACGATCACAGGAATAGCATTTATCAGATTTCCCTTCCCAGCCATCGGAGCATCCGTTGATAATTCTTTCTTAAAATGATTTAATGAAGCGACAAAGGATACAGGTCAGTTGGTTTGCAAAATAATCTAATTTTGGATGTGCTGACTAGACTCAGATTATATATATTTTTTGGTGTATATATAAAATGTAATATTTCAAATATATCTTAATTTGTTTTATTATGAATCCGATAGAGATAACGTGTTCTTTTCAGGCTTTCACAGCCACAGACACTTAACCTCAAAGTTTTTTTTATGTATTACCGCTAACATAATAGGATCTGAATTTCCTGCATGGCTTCTTCCAGGTCTTCACGTAGAACTCTGTCGATAGCTTCTACAGCTCTTAGAGCCGCCAAGGCAGGGTGGGGGAGCCTGTTTCTAAAGAAAAGGGGTAATGAACATGGCAATAGGTTTTTAATGAGTGGTTTTGATAACACTCAGCATTCAATACAGCATGTGTTTTCCAGTATTTGGTAAGAGCCAAGACTGCTTCAAGGGAGGCAGTGAGGTTAGAAGCATCTGTAGGCCACGCATCCTATATGGCTTGTTCTTAGAAAGCAGCATTGATAGGTGCTTCCATGTAAACGTAGATTTGGAGCACTGTACTGGAAAGTGCTTTGAGGTGCGCTCTATATGGAAGATAGCGCTTTAGTGAATCTCAACAACATACTGGATGAAGGACTGACTCACTTCACATTCATGGAGTCTTGCCCTTGTAAAACTTATTTGATGCCTGTAAACTCCTCGAGCCCAGGAGTAGCCCAGGAATATTTGTTTGGTTCATTCAGGCAACTCACAGGGTGAAGTTGTGCCTGGTGCATCCTAAGTGCTTAGCTCCTATCTGTTGGGGCAATGAATGTGAATAAATCCATCTTATGCTAAAAGTAAGTAAGAAAGAGATCTTTTCATAAAGCAGCTACTTACATTGTCACTTCTACCATGTAAACCTGTTTTGTAACCTAGGTTTTTCATCGGATGGCTTCTCATAAGCCTGTGTACTCACAGACTTTCTTCCGTTTTTGACTCTGCCTTCCCACTTTTTCATAGACGTCGCCGGAATTGTTTGAACTTCAGGAAGACGATGCTCTACCAAGGTACTCGTTTTTGTTTGGGGTTTTTTTCCTCCCTTTGCCTGTATTTGGCTCTAGCTTGATGCTCAGCAGGAATCTTAATACTTAATTTGTCAGAGGTAGGTTTTGAAAAGACTTTCATGTTATAACGGGAATCAGAGTCTTTGAGAAGCGTTGAATCGTTGTTTATCGCTATTAGTGTAAGTAACCTCAGTGGGAAAAGTAAGAGACAGCTAAGAATGCAGAATTTCTGAGCCCTCAATAGACTACCACTTCTAAAGGGTACCTTTAGCAGATACTACACTAGAAGCAAAGGGAAACTACAGCTTTGACCCCAGGTCCCTAAATGGTCCCTCACCTTGGTGACCTGGAAGGGTTCGTGTATGGGCCATTAGGATTCCATTGGTTCTTTAAACCTAAGACCAAGAACAAAGAAAGCAAGTTGATTTTAGTTAATGTGTCAAAGTCCGATTGGTTTGGACTTTCTCTACTGATTAGACTCTGGACCCAAACGGAAGAGAAAGTGGTACAGCTTTATTGATGATGCCTGGCATGGGCACAGGGAGAGGGGGCATGCACAGGTGCTTTTCGCCGTTTTTTGGCCTAGACCAAAAGTAGGTCAAGTGGCCTGAGAGGCCCCTCCCCTTTTCTTGGCCTTGGAGATCCAGTGATGAGAAGAGCCTTGGGAAGATGAATCAAGGAAAATCCCCTTCCCTGATTTACAGCAGTTGGCTGAGTGACACACTGCATGCCTTCCTTGCCTCTGGAGCAGCGCTTCTCAACCTGTGGGTCGTGACCCCTTTGCAGGGTTCGACGACCCTTTCGCGGGGGTCGCCTAAGACCATCAGAAAACACATATTTCTGATGGTCTTAGGAATTGAGACACAGCTCCTCTATCCATCTCCAGGCGGGTCCACCCACCCACAGAGATGCCCACACATGAGTACCCAGCATGAAGACTGTTACCCATGCTACACCATGCTTCAAGACGAAATTTCATTGATTTGTCATTAGAAATCAATATTTCACAGTATATAATTACATATTCTTTTTGTGATGAATCACTATGTTTTAATTATGTTCAATTTGTAACAAAATACATCCTGCGTATCAGGTATTTACATTATGATTCATCACAGTAGCAAAATTATAGT